CATCAACATAAATTTGCACTAACAGAATATGATTAGCAACAGAAATCTGAAATAGAGTTTTGTCAACCTTTCCTTTAGTAAACCCATGGTTCACTAAGAATAGGGACAATGTGTCATACCAAGCTCTGGGAGCTTGCTTAAGACCATAAAGGGCCTTTCTGAGCTTGTAGACACAAGAAGATTGAGTAGGAATGACAAAACCTGGAGGTTGTTCAACATAGACTTCCTCTTCAAGTTCTCCATTCAGAAATGCACTCTTGACATCCATCTGGTATACTTTGATGTCGTTGTAAGCAGCATAGGCTAGGAATATCCTGATTGCTTCCAGTCTGGCAACAGGTGCAAAGGTCTCATCAAAATCTATGCCTTCTTCTTGACAGTATCCCTTTGCTACAAGCCTTGCTTTATTCCTTACAATGTTCCCTTCTTCATCTGCTTTGTTCTTGAATACCCACTTGGTTCCAATGACATTCTGATGCTTTGGTCTGGGAACAAGTTTCCATACTTCATTCCTTTCGAACTGTGTCAGCTCTTCTTGCATTGCATTGATCCAATCTGAATCTTCTAGAGCTTCTTCCACACACATTGGTTCCATTTGAGATATGCAGCAGGTGAACATGGCTTCTCTTCTTGATGCAGATCTGGTCCTAACACCACTGGTGACTTGACCAATTACTTGATTAGGAGGATGATCTCTTAACCAAGTTAGATCAGGTTCTGTCAGTTGCTGTCTAGGCAACTCTGATGGTTCATCTTCTGATTCTTCATCTTCATCTTTGTCTATCAGAATTGGATTGGCAGGAGGAGTTGAGAATATAGGATTGTTGATGGCCTCTTCTGATGGTTCTGAAGCCTTATCTTCAAGATTGATCTTCTGCAGGGTCTCTGATAGTTCTTCTGCAGAGGTGCTGTCATCAAACTTGACATGAATGGATTCTTCAACTTGTATAGTTCTCCTGTTGAGTACTCTATAGGCTTTGCTTGAGCTTGAATAGCCTAAGAATACACCTTCATCAGCTTTTTCTTGAAATACTTTCAGATTATCCTTTCCATTGTTTAGAATGTAGCACTTGCATCCAAACACATGGAAGTAGCTGATGTTTGGCTTTCTTCCTTTCCACAGCTCGTAGGGGGTCTTCTGATGATTCTTGTGGATCATGCTTCTGTTCTGGGTGTAGCATGCAGTGTTGATTGCTTCAGCCCAGTATCTGATGGGTAATCCTGATTCAGCAATCATAGTCCTTGCAGCTTCCTTCAGTGTTCTGTTCCTTCTTTCTGCAACACCATTTTGTTGGGGTGTTCTGGCAGCAGAAAGTTGATGGAAGGTGCCATTCTGATCACAGAAGTCCTTGATCACTTTGTTGACAAATTCAGTTCCTCTGTCAGATCTGATTGTTCTGACCTTCATATTCTTCTCAGTTTGAAGTTGCTTTAACAGAGATGGCAACTTCTGAAGAGTTTCATTTTTCTTTGCTAGGAACACAGTCCATGTATATCTTGAGTAGTCATCAACCATAACAAGAGTATATCTTTTTCCACCAACACTGGGAGTTTCAACTGGTCCAAACAAATCCATGTGGATCAGATTTAGAGGACAAGTAGAAAGATCTCCAGCTATGGGTTTGAATGAGGTCTTCACTTGTTTGCCTTTCTGACAAGCACTGCAGAGAATTTCCTTCTTGTAGACAATGTCAGGCAGACCATCTACAATGTGTTTCCTTGCCAGTTTGTTGATGGTTTTGAAATTCAGGTGGCTAAGCTTCTTGTGCCAGTCCCAGCTTAGCTTTGAATTGTCCTTTGCTATCAGACAGGTTCCATCTTTTGCTGTTTGCCAGTCAACAACATAGATGTTCTTCCTTCTTTTGGCTGTAAGAACTACTTCTTTGGTTGTCTCATGCTTGACATAGCATAAGGTCTTGGTGAATTCAACTGTGTAGCCTTTGTCACAGAACTGGCTAGCACTCAGCAAGTTAAATTTCAGACCTTTGACATAAGAGACATCTTCAATGATTATCTGGTTCTTGATCAGCTTCCCTCTTCCCTTTGTTTGACCATCCTTGTCATTTCCACCGAAAGTGACTCTGGGTCCATTGATTTTCTGGAACTCTGATAGGCAACTCTTGTCACCTGTCATGTGCCTGGAGCATCCACTGTCAATATACCATTCTTGTTCTGAGATGGCTCCAGCACACAGTTCCTGCAAGATTAAAAGGAAGATTTAGGTACCCAAGCAATGTTGGGTCCTGGGGGGTAATGCAGTCTTGGTAGTTGGTACCATTTTGGTCTCATCAACTGAAACCTTGGTGGATGGTACCCATTGTCCACCTGGTAGTTGTAGTAAACAGATGTATGATTCACTTTGGGCAGATGCTTGTGAGGATCATGCTTTCTGTTTGCATACTTCTGCATAGCCTTCTTTGTTGGAAAGAAGTCCCATATGCTATCAAGATCAGAGGAGCGCTTAACTTTAGGCTTCTGAGGTTGACCAGACAACCTCTTCTGCCTATAGTTAATCTTCTCTTGATATCTGCCTTTCTGATAGCAGTTTCTGATACCATTGTCATGAGATTGTCTGATTGGATTAGGTCTTTGATTATTATTTTTCTGAAAACTCTTCCTTTTGTTTGAGTTTCTGCCAGGTTCATTAGTTTTCAAACTGTGTTTTGGTTTGGCCTTTAGAGTTTGTTTCTCTGGTGTGACCTTCTCTTGAACAACTTTAGTACCAGAAGTACTAGCATGGCAAATGGGGCTCAGAGTCTGTGGCACTATGACCTTTTTAGCCTTAGCAACTTTGGTGCTAGGCCTTACAGAAGGCTCACCAGACTCTGGTTCAACATATCCAAGACCAGAGGTAAAGTTATGAGAGTCTCCAATATTCTTCATGGAAGATTGCATCTTCAGAAGACTATTATATTTACTCTCAAGTCCTTCAATGTCTCTTATTCTTTTAAGAAGAGACTCATTTTCAGCCTTCAGTCTATCTCTTTCCTCAGTTAAGAGATTAAGTTTGCACTCAGTCTCTTTCCTTAGATCAGAGATATCAACTTTCAGCCTACTGTTCTCATCTTTAACAAAGGAATAAGTGGCTTGGATAGTTTGGAACTCTTCCCAAAATGATGACATTGGATCATCATTTAAGGCTGTGCCTACCGAAGAAGAAACAGAGTCAGAAGTAGAGCATACCTCATCATCAGATTGTGCCATGAGGCAAAGGTCTTCAGTTTCTGCATCCAAGCAGCAGAAAGCTTCATCAGAGTCAGAGTCTGAACTGGACTCTGATTCAGAGAGTGGATCTCTCTCAGCTTGCTCTGAGACGAATGCTCTTCTTCTTCTGTGTTGATCTTCAGGCTTCTTTTCTTCTTCATGTCCTTGTTTCTTGGACACTCTTGGATAGGGGCAGTTTGCTTTGAAGTGCCCAGGCTGTCTGCAGTTGTAGCAGAGGTACTCTCCATTGCTTTCAGAAGGTTTGGTCTTCTGATGAGGTCTTCTGATGGAAGATGGACTCCTTCCATCTTTCTTCATAAACTTCTTAAACTTCCTGGCAAAAGCAGCCATATACTCATCAGATAAAAGAGTAGAAGGGTCAAAGTCACTTACCTTTGAGGTGCTGGCAGTGAGAGCAGTGGTGGTCCTTTCATCAGGAGCTTCCTCCTTCTCTTCATGCATCTCAAACTCATAAGCTTTGAGATCAGAAATGAGTTTCTCAGTGGCATAGGTCTTGATGTTCTTGCTTTCTTGGACAGCAATCACCTTCATCTTCCAAGCTGAAGGCAGTCCCCTCAGGATCTTCATGTTGACTTCTTTGATAGTGAGCTCCTTTCCAAGCTCAGAAATCTCACTAATGAGAATCAGCAGTCTCTCATGCATCTTAGCAATGCATTCTTCTGGCAGAAGTTTGAAGTCATCAAACTTCTTCATTGCTATGGTCAACTTGTTATCTCTTTCTTGCTCATCTCCTGCTCCAATCTCATCTAGCTTGTCCCAGATTTCTTTGGCAGTTTTGCACTTCTTGATTCTGTTGAAGTATCTTTCATCAATAGCCTTGTAAAGGATGTCCTTGGCTATATTATCTAGATTGTACTGCCTCTTCTCTTCCTTGGTCCATTCTGACCGGGCTTTCTCAATCATCTGGGGCTGAGAGTTATCAATGGAGTGAGCAGGATTGATCTTCATGAACTGGATAAAGGGTCCATTCTCCAAGACTTCCCACATTTCATCATGAAGAGCACACAGATGTGCCTTCATTCTGATCTTCCAATCATCATATTTCTGATCTGTGAACATTAGATGCTTTGCAAGAGAGTTATCCATAATCACAACTAAATAGAGGCTAAGAACAAGTGGATCTTTGTTCAGAGAGTAACCTAAAAGATTACAAGAACAAGGAGGCTCTGATACCACTTGTTGGTCCCGTTTAATATGGTAACCAGTCTAGAGGGGGGGGGGGTGAATAGACTGGTCGGTTTTTCAAATTTTCTCTAAGTCCGAAGTGACTTATCAGAGAAGGTCTGATTCTGATGACAGAGAAAGGCTGGTTCTGATATCAGAACTGGCCTTGGCAGCGGATTCTGATCTGTCCGGGTAGCCTCAGAAATACTAAGGCAAATGCCTTTCTGATAACTCTGACAACAAGATCTGCTGAACACAGATTCCAAGTCTTAGAGTTAAGCAGTTAGTATCCTAAGTGCAGGAAAATAAATTGCAGTAAAATAAATGACACCGGATATTTTTATAGTGGTTCAAGGAACAACTCGTTCCTCTAGTCCACTGTTCCACTAGCTTTGAAGTAGATCGGTTACAAAGCTTAGTCCCTAGCACTTAAGAAGTACTCCACGCCTTCTCCAAGTCTAGTTGTCACCCGGGATGCAATCCTGCTTCCTGATGACTGGTCCTTTCACTCAGCTTCCCGGAAGTATCACCACTTCACTACTGCAGTTACTTGGACGCCCTTCTTTTCAGAAGATCCTTTGAAAAACAGAGTTTTTCCTCCAACTTGCTTCGTCACAAATGATGTTTGATGAAGATCTTGAAGAGTTGAAGAACAGGATGAACTTTGCTCTTGTTGGGGATGAAAGATTATAGATATTGGAATCTTCCCAACGTAAGCTTGTCTTGTTGAGGATTGTAGGATTTGAGTCTCAAGAGAGCTTGAGTTAGATGAGCAAAAGTTGTAGCAAAAAGTTGTATCCCTGTTCTTCGGTGAGTAGCTTATATACTGGGGTTGTCTGCCCGTTGGAGGAGGAGACAACTGCATTAAATGCGCGTACTGTTGACTTGACCGCCGTTTTGGAAGGTTTCTATTTTTATAATATATCTTCCCGGATTCTTTGGTCAATCATTTGCAATCAATCCTTCAGCATATCAGGCTCATTTAATGTGCATTAAATGCTTTCCTTTCATGCACAGTCTTCTAGCCGTTGGATGTTTTCACCCGTTGAACTCATAGCTGTTGGATGTTGCTTGAAATCTTCTAAGTGTTAGTCGGGCTCTGATTAGGCTCTTCTGACGTGTTGGATTCTGATGGCCTTCTGATGCGTTGAGTTCTGATGGCTTTCTGATCTCTGATAGAACTCTAACTCAGACTCTGATAGGTCCGCTGATGAGTACCTCTGATCTGTAGTTCTCATCGGTTATCAGATGTCCAAGTTTATCAGCAACTCTCATAGTGCAACTCTGATGGACTTTTGCTAAGAGAACTCTGATGGAGCAGTTCTCATAGAGCAAGTCTGGTCGAGCAGTTCTGATGCACTTCTGATCTGATCCAAAATAGAGCAACTCTGATCGTCGCCTACACTAATACTTACAATTGAAAATTCTAATACATAAAATCTAATTTGGGGGTACTTAAAATTCTAATCCTATAGCATCATCAAAATCTAAATACATTTATTCCTTACACAAAGCTTATGAGTTTGAGATGCATGAAGAGAAGGAGGAAGTTCCTGATGAGAGGACCACCACTGCTCTCACTGCCAGCACCTCAAAGGTAAGTAACTTCGACCCCTCTACTCTTTTATCTGATGAGTATATGGCTGCTTTTGCCAGGAAGTTTAAGAAGTTTATGAAGAAAGATGAAAGGAGTCCATCCTCTAGCAGAAGACCCCATCAGAAGACCAAGTCTTCTGAGAGCAATGGAGAGTACCTCTGCTACAACTGCAGACAACCTGGGCACTTCAAAGCAAACTGCCCCTATCCAAGAGTGTCCAAGAAGCAAGGACATGAAGAAGAAAAGAAACCAGATGATCAACACAGAAGAAGAAGAGCATTCGTCTCAGAGCAAGCTGAGAGAGATCCACTCTCTGAATCAGAGTCCAGTTCAGACTCCGACTCTGATGAAGCATTCTGCTGCTTGGATGCAGAAACTGAAGACCTTTGCCTCATGGCACAATCTGATGATGAGGTATGCTCTACAACTAATTCTATTTCTTCTTCGGTAGGCACAGCCTTAAATGATGATCCAATGTCATCATTTTGGGAAGAGTTCAAGACTATCCAAGGATCTTATTCTTTTTTTTTTTTTTTTTTTTTTTTTTTTTTTAACCCGGAAGGCAAACCACCGCATCCAGTGGGGCAAATGCCGGGAGCATTTGCCAGAGTTTTATTCATAATGTGATTGAGTACAAAAGGAGAGGGGGACTAGACCAAAACCTCTCCAAGAAGACATTCCTTCCCGAGAACATATTAGGGGGGCAAGACCTGACCTAATCCGTAAAATCAACAATAATATAAATCTCTAAAAGAAGGAAAATTAAAGAAATCTAAATTAATAGTAACCTAAATTAATAAATCTCCAAGGATCTTATTCCTTTATTAAAGAAGAGAACAGTAAGCTGAAAGCTGAAAATGAGTCCCTTCTAAAGAGAATAAGAGAGATTGAACATCTTGAAGTCAGATACAATAACCTTTTGAAGATGCAATCTTCTATGAAGGGTATCAATGACTTTCACAACTCTACCCCTGGTCTTGGATATGTTGAACCCAAGTCTGGTGAACCTTCTGTAAGGCCTAGCACCCAAGTTGCTAAAGCCAAAAAGGTCATAATTTCACAGAATTGCAGCCCCATTTGCCATGCTAGTACTTCTGGTACTAAAGTTGTTCATGAGAAGGTCATACCAGAGAAACAAACTCTAAAGGCCAAACCAAAACACAGTTTGAAAACTAATGAACCTGGCAGAAATTCTAACAAAAGGAAGAGTTTTCAGAAAAATAATAATCAAAGGCCTAATCCAATCAGACAATCTCATGACAATGGTATCAGAAACTGCTATCAGAAAGGCAGATATCAAGAGAAAATTAACTATAGGCAGAAGAGGTTGTCTGGTCAACCTCAGAAGCCTAAAGTTAAGCGCTCCTCTGATCTTGATAGTATATGGGACTTCTTTCCAACAAAGAAGGCTATGCAAAAGTATGCAAACAGAAAGCATGATCCTCACAAGCATCTGCCCAAAGTGAATCATACATCTGTTTACTACAACTACCAGGTGGACAATGGGTATCATCCACCAAGGTTTCAGTTGATGAGACCAAAATGGTACCAACTACCAAGACTGCATTACCCCCCAGGACCCAACATTGCTTGGGTACCTAAATCTTCCTTTTAATTTTGCAGGAACTGTGTGCTGGAGTCATCTCAGAACAAGAATGGTATATTGACAGTGGATGCTCCAGGCACATGACAGGTGACAAGAGTTGCCTATCAGAGTTCCAGAAAATCAATGGACCCAGAGTCACTTTCGGTGGAAATGACAAGGAAGGGCAAACAAAAGGAAGAGGGAAGCTGATTAAGAACCAGATAATCATTGAAGATGTCTCTTATGTCAAAGGTCTGAAATTCAACCTCCTAAGTGCTAGCCAGTTCTGTGACAAAGGCTACACAGTTGAATTCACCAAGACCTTATGCTATGTCAAGCATGAGACAACCAAGGAAGTGGTTCTTACAGCGAAAAGAAGAAAGAACATCTATGTTGTTGACTGGCAAACAGCAAAAGATGGAACCTGTCTGATAGCAAAGGACAATTCAAAGCTAAGCTGGGACTGGCACAAGAAGCTTAGCCATCTGAATTTCAAAACCATCAACAAACTGGCAAGGGAACACATTGTAGATGGTCTTCCTAACATCATCTACAAGAAGGAGACCCTCTGCAGTGCTTGTCAGAAAGGAAAACAAGTGAAGACCTCATTCAAACCCATAGCTGGAGATCTTTCTACTTGTCCTCTAAATCTGATTCACATGGACTTATTTGGACCTGTTGAAACTCCCAGTGTTGGTGGAAAAAGATATACTCTTGTTATGGTTGATGACTACTCAAGATACACATGGACTGTGTTTCTAACCAAGAAGAATGAAACTCTTCAGAAGTTGCCATCTCTGCTAAAGCAACTTCAAACTGAGAAGAATATGAAGGTCAGAACAATCAGATCTGACAGAGGAACTGAATTTGTCAACAAAGTGATCAAGGACTTCTGTGATCAGAATGGCACCTTTCATCAACTTTCTGCTGCCAGAACACCCCAACAAAATGGTGTTGCAGAAAGAAGGAACAGAACACTGAAGGAAGCTGCAAGAACTATGATTGCAGAATCAGGACTGCCCATCAGATACTGGGCTGAAGCTATCAACACTGCATGCTATACCCAAAACAGGAGCATGATCCACAAGAATCATCAGAAGACCCCCTACGAGCTGTGGAAAGGAAGAAAACCAAACATCAGCTACTTCCATGTGTTTGGATGCAAGTGCTATATTCTAAACAATGGAAAGGAGAACCTGAAAGTATTTCAAGAAAAAGCTGATGAAGGTGTATTCTTAGGCTACTCAAGTTCAAGCAAAGCCTATAGAATACTTAACAGGAGAACTATACAAGTTGAAGAATCCATTCATGTCAAATTTGATGATGGTTCCTCTGCAGAAGAACTATCAGAAACCCTGCAGAAGATCAATCTTGAAGACAAGATTTCAGAATCATCAGAAGAGGTCACCATCAATCCTGTATTATCAATTCCTTCTGTCAATCCAATTCTGATAGACAAAGATGAAGATGAAGAATCAGAAGATGAACCATCAGAGTTGCCTAGACAGCAACTGTCAGAACCCGATCTAACATGGTTAAGAGATCATCCTCCTAATCAAGTAATTGGTCAAGTCACCAGTGGTGTTAGGACCAGATCTGCATCCAGAAGAGAAGCCATGTTCACCTGCTGCATATCTCAAATGGAACCAATGAGTGTAGAAGAAGCTCTAGAAGATTCAGACTGGATCAATGCAATGCAAGAAGAGCTGACACAGTTTGAAAGGAATGAAGTGTGGAAACTTGTTCCCAGACCAAAGCATCAGAATGTCATTGGAACCAAATGGGTATTCAAGAACAAAGCAGATGAAGAAGGCAACATTGTAAGGAATAAAGCAAGGCTTGTAGCAAAGGGCTATTGTCAAGAGGAAGGCATAGATTTTGATGAGACCTTTGCACCTGTTGCAAGACTGGAAGCAATCAGGATATTTCTAGCCTATGCTGCTTACAACAACATCAAAGTATACCAGATGGATGTCAAGAGTGCTTTTCTGAATGGAGAACTTGAAGAGGAAGTTTATGTTGAACAACCTCCAGGTTTTGTCATTCCTACTCAATCTTCTTGTGTCTACAAGCTCAGGAAGGCCCTTTATGGTCTTAAGCAAGCTCCCAGAGCTTGGTATGACACATTGTCCCTATTCTTAGTAAACCATGGGTTTACTAAAGGAAAGGTTGACAAAACTCTATTTCAAATTTCTGTTGCTAATCATATTCTGTTAGTGCAAATTTATGTTGATGATATTATATTTGGAAGCACTAATCCAGAATTATGCAAGAAATTTTCTCAAGTTATGCAGAAGAAGTTTGAAATGAGCATGATGGGAGAACTCAGTTACTTTCTTGGATTACAAGTCAAACAAGTACCAGAAGGCATCTTTATCAACCAAGGAAAGTACACCAGAGATCTCATCAAGAAGTTTGGAATTGATGGAAAATCTTCAGTCAAAATTCCTATGAATGCATCTCAAGGAATTGGACCAGATGATGAAGGCAAAGATGTTGATGCAACAACTTATAGAGGAATCATTGGATCTCTCCTCTATCTAACTGCAAGCAGACCAGATATAGCTTTTGCAGTAGGAATCTGTGCCAGATACCAATCAAAGCCCAAGGAGAGCCATCTAGTTGCTGCTAAGAAGATTATCAGATATATCAAGGGAAATCCCAATGCAGGCCTATGGTATCCCAAGGGAGGTAATTTTGAACTAATTGGTTATTCTGATTCAGATTTTGCAGGTTGCAGATTGGACAGGAAGAGTACTTCTGGTCACTGTCAATTGCTAGGTGGGAGACTTGTCTCCTGGTTTAGCAAGAAACAGAATTCAATCTCAACTAGCACTGCTGAAGCTGAGTATATTGCTGCTGGAAGTTGCTGTGCTCAATTACTCTGGATGAAGCAACAACTCAAGGATTATGGAGTGCAAGCAAAGGAGATCAAGTTGCTGTGTGACAATACCAGTGCCATTGCCATCACTCAGAATCCGGTGCTGCATTCAAGAACAAAGCATATTGAGATCAGACATCACTTCATCAGAGATCATGTGGAGAAGAAGCATATCTCAATTGAGCATGTTCCAACTGAAGATCAGCTTGCGGATATCCTAACCAAACCTCTTTCAGAGGCTAGGTTTAATAAGTTGAGAGAAGAATTGGGAATGATGGATGATCTTCCCAAAGATACATGAATCAGAGTTGCAGAAGTATCAGATGTGGATTCATCAGAACACCCCATCTCTGATACCCGAAGCTCTTATCCATCAGAAGTTTGGATCAGAATTGCGAAGATCAGACTCGCAAAAGTCAGAGTTGCAGGAAGGATCAGACTTGGTATTCATCAGAGATCCTCGTATCAGAACATCTCTCTGATACCAGGGCTAATATTTATCAGAGTGGCTGTGGACTTAGAAAAATTTTCTAAATTTCGGACGAGGCTATTCAATAAACTGGGCTTTACTATTTTACCCCCGGTAGTTATTACCACTTTTGGAAAACGGCTTTCCGCCCGCATTCCATTAAATGCGACCTCGAAACCGCAAATTATATCAAACGTCCACTAACCCGAACTCATATATACTCAGTTTGTAAACCTAAACCGCCATTGCATCTCATCTCTCTTCGTATTCAAGCTTTCAGAACTCTCAAACCTTCAATATCTCAAAAAAATTCCTCAATCCCTACTCAAAATGAAGTTCATCAACATCACTGATCTTTCTGAAGCTGAAGCCAAGTCCCTAATGGCCAATATCGTCACCGGCATGAAAGTTGACATGTCATCTCTGCCGCTACTAGCAGAGAACAGCAAAATCATGCGGAGAATCATTGAAGGGATGAATGATTCTCAGCTGACAAAGATTGTAGCTCACCCCTATGAGCACTTCAGCAATATGGATGTGGCTGAGTTCTACCTCAACGCCTACATCGTCAACAACGCCATATTCTCCCGAGTTCAGGGCAAGGACCTGAAGATAGATGCTGCTGCCCTTAACGAGTTCTTCAACATTCAACTGGACTCTCAGGATGAGGACACCCCCAATCTCATTGAACTCGATGATGTGGACATCTCAGTCACCACATTTGTGCAGACCTACTGCCGGGATGATGCAACTGGATTAGATAGGCTGTACATGAAGAAGAACCAGCTCAAGAAGGACTATGAGCGACTAATGAGCATCATGCACAGGTGTTTGTGGTGCAAAACCGGTTCAACTGACCAGATGAATAATGCAAATGCCAAAGCTATCTATGCAGTTCATCGTGGCATGAATATCAACTGGGGTCAAGTTCTTTTCAAGTCTATTTCTGAATGCATTGAGAAGAAGGATGCTGAGACTGGGAAATTCTCTACTAAGATGGGCCATGGACTTCTCATCTCCAGACTCATCACTAACGCCCAGATTGAACTACGTGGATCTGCTCCAGCCAACCACATGAAGACAATCTTCCTCACTGCATCTCCTAAAATGCATGTGGCAATTGCTGCAGAACTAAAGAAAACTAGCAAGCATGAGCAGAACAGGGAGAAAGTGGTTGAAAAACCCAAAGCTGCCCCCAAGAAGATCACTACGAAGGCTGCAACTTCCTCTGAACAGCCTAAGGCAAAGCCTGTTCACACTCCAAAGAAGAAGATCACTCCAAGGTCTAAGATTGCCTCTTCTG